AACACATTGCAAGATGATTCTCAATAACCATGAATAATACTTTATTGTAATTATATAATATTTGACCATCGCGACAAAATAGCAAGATGTTAAGCGTTTAAATTACATTGTGCTTGAAAATAAAACTAATATAAATATACAAATGCCAAAAAACTAGCAAAACTTTATGAATGAAACAGTCAATGAGTTCCTGAATAGAAATTTAAGGTGACATCTGTCCAAATTCACCATTTCTCTATTAGTTTCTCTGCAGAATTCTATCAGAGTCGTAGCCAAAGCAGTCTTTGTAGCTTTGTTAGTGTTTTCCAAGTCTTTGTTGACAACCATTTCGTTATTATTACTATACATAATATTGTCAACTTGCTAACAATTGGAAATATTGATAATGTTCCACATTTAAACAGACAAGGTAATAAGATGAGCAAACCAGCAGTATTAAAAACGGATTCTTTAAAAACTGTTCTGATAAGCCTCTGATTTCAATGTGTGGTGACAGGAGCCCATTACTAGGAGCCTTCCTCTTCTTCATAAGCTCTTGGAACGGCATTTACCCCTCTATTTTTAGAATTGCTCATTATAAATTCAGCACAAAACAGCCAATCCGAAAGCTTCTTCAATAGGTTTCTGATTGACCACCGGCCCAGCCGCCGGTCGACCACCGGCAGTTCCGAGGAGGAAGATCTTAGCTAGTACTAGACTATTCAAAATTAATTTTCAGGGTGTTTAAAGTTCACTTTTAGTAGAAATATGTCCTAAAAAAGGAAAGGAAGCCAGTGATAGGCCAGTGATAGAAGACAGGTGTAATTGATCTTGGGAATGCAGGGGAAAATTTGGAGAAAAAAACAACCAACACGGATTATGAACTTTTCATTGAGCAGCCGAAGACCAACAAAATTCATTGGACAGCAAAAGCAAAACAAATCAACTCAAATCACACTCTGGATCTTTAACTGATAACCAGAATTTGAAATCAAATGGCTTTTGAAGACGAGAAACGAAGGTTCAATGTACAAAAGCGGAAAATTTCCAACTTGAGCAAACTTGAGCAAACTGAAGCAAGTAAGCTTAGATTAGGTTGAGTGCAAATTTTTCCATGCCAATGGACATTAAATGCAACTGTTTTTGGGTTGACTAATTTATATGACAATAAAACAATTAAGTACCGACAACATTTTAGAGGACTGTCCATCGGCTGTTCAAGAAAAAAGGCGCCGAAATTCCGTTAAGGTAACTTCCTTTGTGAAGAGCTTTTGTTTAGATGCAAAATATTGTACAAAACTGTCACAAACAAATTTATTAAAATGCTAATTTTTAACTCGAAGATTGCGAAGCAATTGAAGAGTTATTGGAGGGGGACGAGTCTGTCACTCAGTCACTCAGTCACTCACTTTCCTGTAAACTTGAGCCTTCGTTACTTGTGTTCAGAATTATAATTTATTATCATTGTTCTCTATTAATTTACTCTAAAGTTACAGTTACCGGGTTCCCTGTTCTATATTTGATTGAATTTATATTATTTTTTTGACAAAGAAAGAAATCTAATTAAAGAAATGTCAGCTCCTCTGAGTCTTGAACTTCAGACCTCTGAATTAAGCCCCGTCTAGAAGAGCAATTTTTATGTGGCAATTTTTATGTGACAATTTTTAATTGCCCGTGTAGATGAGCAAAATTGGACAAATTTTATGTGACAACTGTAGTTGCTGGAAAGCTGGCATGCTAGTTTTTATGTAATTGTCACATATCAATAATTTCCYGTGTGAACGAGCGTTAGTATAAAATAGGTTTTGTAAAATCGAAAATTTCTTCACTTGTAYAAATGTAAAATTCAATCTAAAAACTCSRCATCTCAATAAGCGCGCGGGGAATGGCGGGAAAATCTAAAAATAGCYYCAAGAGGGGTAAATGCCGTTCCACAAGACCATGGGAAGAGGAAGGCTCCTAGTAATGGGCTCCTGGTGGTGAGAATCTTTTTGCAAACTGCTATAATTTACTGGAGGAGTAAAACTTGTACCTTTTAGGTTATGCAAAAATGTTGTGAACTACATACCAGTTGGACATCTTACAGTGTAATTTCTTCCTTGTAGTTATGGACCAGATGAGACAGAAGAAACTAACACCACAGAAAACAAACCAAGAATTCTGTTAATGGGTTTAAGAAGGTAACTTTTCAGCCCTTTGTCTATGTGTACATTGTACATAAACTGTGTATACTGTATACTCTATAAAATTATTATACCTACTAATTGAATTACTGTTGTGGAGTCACAGAAGGTGATATYATGAAAGCTAACAATGAAAAGGTTTCACAAAGTACTCAAGTAAAGTTTACCTATACATTGCTCAAAGAGAATGTCATTTTGACCCTAAAACACTGTTACATAGTGGTTTACTTTCCTGACTGCTTCCTTTCAGACTTCTTTCATGATGTAACCTTTTGGAACCCAACATTGTTTTTGTTCAATTGAAGGTGTATCTACCAAATTCTCATTAAAACAAATAATAGTCCAAGGGTTGATGGGTATTTTTGTGGTATTTTCATGGTCAGGAAGTGTTGTTCACATAATTGTATTCAACTCCTATCATCCCCTCTGATTTTACTTTATCACTTAACTTCCTTTCTTTCTTTTTTTTATCAGGAGTGGCAAGTCTTCTATCCAAAAAGTTGTCTTCCACAAGATGTCTCCAAATGAAACTCTATTCTTAGAAAGTACAAGTAAAATAATAAAAGATGGTATCCTTTGTGCGCAGTTATCCAAATGCAAAAGTTATTTATAACTTTTTGCAGTTATATCATCCAAAGAATATAGATAATTTAAACAGATTTTCACTGTTTGCACATGCAGAATGCCAGTGTTATACTGTACATGATTGTATATCTTGAAGGGACAGATGCAAAAACAGCGTAAGACTAAGTGGCGTTTTAGGGTATTTTTTTAGCTATTTTTTTAGCTCATTTTAGCTATAGTTGAAGTCACAAAAATTAAGCAAGAACAGTTTTGATGCAAATTCCATACAGTGAAAATAGCACTGTTTCGTTGTCCTTTTTTTCGTCAAAATTCTTGATTTGAACAAGCAAAACACTGTTTGTACCAAAATTCAGTCCTACTTAGCTGTCATTTCAGCTTTATATTTTTCCTATTTTCCATAAACATCTACCTACAAACTTAATCATGTCCGTAGAGTAGTAGTGACTAAAGGCAAAAAGGCWATAAAAACCGAGAAAAACCCATTTCTTGATTTCTTGCAGTCTAGCTTCGAGCCAAAACAAACCATTTTTCATGGATTACTATAGGTAACCATATGGTTTCCAGATCATCAAAAAGTGTCAAAATTGTAAGAAACAGTTGTGTAAAAAGATGAATTTAACATCGTAAAAAAGTAGGCGAAATAATTTACTGACGTTTCAGACGTTAACCTTCGYCRGAGTAAAGAGATGGAACTAGGTATAGTGTGAGTTTATATAGTAAGAGTAGCAAAGAAAGTAGACCAATAGGAGCAAGGTAGGCATGGTAACGAGAAATAAATAAAAAAAGCAAAGGAAGTGTTAGACAAAAGAACARTGAAGGTGCTGAAAAGGGAACAAAGGATATAAAACTTATATGAAAACAAAGCGTTCATGAATAAGCTGCATTTCACAATCATTGTTGCCGCTAAAGACAAACCAAAAACAATAAAGTTAGAAAGTRAATGGATGGGTAGGTTAAAATGGTGGGAAACAGGATTATTAAGATCATTGTGACGAATACTATGAAGATGTTCATGGATACGATCGCCAAGAGAACGGCCAGTCTCGCAGACATACAATAAATTACAAAGCGAACATTTGATGCAAARGACAACAGTAGAGGGTACACATTCAAAGTGATCAGTGATTCTGAGTGATGAGTTAGGACCAACAATGGAAGTGTGCGAGTGTATGTACGGACAAGTGTTACAAATTTTACGTGAGCAACGAAAAGTGCAAGGATCATTATTAGAATGAAAAACACCTTTGACTAGGAACGAACGAAGGTTGCGATCGTGTTTATTAGAAAAAGGGGGTCGGTCGTTAAAGATGTGAGAAGTGTTAGTTTCAGAAGTGAATAAGAAGTAATTACGATTAATAATAGGCTTAATAGAACTGCTAATAGGATGATACGTAAGAGTGAGAGGAATACGGTTATTAGGAGCACGAGCATTAGGTGTGAGAACAGTATTACSATCAATGCGAGAGACTTTACGCAGAGCTTCATCAATAACATATGGAGGATAGTTACAATTAAGAAAAAAGGAAMGCATCTACCCAACTGACTTAATAATAACTTCTGTCTTGCGAACTGTGCAATTTTGAATGCAAAATGACTGATTTACTGATTAACCTTCTTGATGTTAAAATATTATTTATCTAATGGTACAATTGATACAATTGAATACAGATYGAATTGCAGTAAAACCATGTCTGCTTACATGTAAATAAGGGACCAATACTATCACGACATAAATGTTGCCATCTGCATTTGACAAAGTTCCAGTGAATAGCAATTCAAAATTTTAGCTTCATCTTTTGTAAACTGCTATTTTTCAAGTTACGCACTGATTGTCTATTTTAGTGATGAATGATTTAGTTTTCTTTTCCCTCCTGAAGAAAGTGGTTATTTTGTCAGACACTCCAGCTTACTAAAGCTATGTATGTCAGAAGGGTTTAGGATTTCTTCTTGTTGTCATGTATTTCCTGTTTGACACCTATCAACAAAATATATCAGAGAACAAGGGCATCCTTGACTTTTGAAAGATATTTCCAATAGTTCCTTTGTGCAGTTTCAGGTAATGACAAGCTAAGTAAATTGAATGTACATGTGAAACTGTTTGTAGTATATAATGCATGATTGTATCACAGAAATGCTTTCCCATTCAAATAAAGTGTACATAATTGTTAAACTAAATAAAGAAATAAATAGATTATGAAATATTTATGGAGAGCAGGGATGATCAAGAAGTTTAAAAGGATTGTSTATCATAGGTCTGGTCCAGGTTTGATTCAAGGCTTTTTGTCTGGGTATTCTGGTTTGTGCACRCAGTCAAAAGTTAGCTGTGAGGATTGTTATGTGCTAAAACTCAATCAATTGACTGATGTGAATCAAATGTGAGAAGGGGAACACTAGGATATCAGTATAAACTGTTGTGTATCACCCTCAAAATGTATCATTCTAGAAGTAATAAATGTTTGTTCAAACTCTCTAAAAGTTACTATTTATTCTTTTAGATTTGGGATTTTCCTGGCCAAATTGATTTTTTTGATCCAGCTTTTGATTCAGAAACTATTTTCGGGAACTGTGGAGCACTTGTTTTTGTTATTGATGCTCAGGTATGTATCAAAGATTCAGCAATAAAACCACAATATTTTCCTTTTGATGCACGCTTTACATTGAAATGGTTTTACTCTTGGTAGTATGTAATTATGATCCTCCGTCTTACATAAAGCTCTTAGTTTATTACGCTTCTAAATAGTTTTGCCTACATGTAGAAGGATCCTGTAGGATACAAGATCCTACATAGTATGACAGAACATGGAATGTTAGAAAACTGTACCTTAAATGAGAGACCTGTGGTGTTTCGGGTGAAGCTCGAAGCTCCTCCAACCCACCAAGGACCAAAGGACACACACGTTATAAACGAACAAATTTTAGAGTATTTATAAACATCTTGTGCTTGTACCTTGTCTAGGATGATTATATGGAGGCATTAAGCAAATTACATATGACAGTATCAAGAGCTTTTAAGGTGAGTCCCATCTCTACTAATTGATTAWTTACTGATGTACTTATTTTATAAATATTAACTGGAATGACTTCCGTTATTTTTCTGAAGAAACAAATGGAAAAAGCAATTTGAGGCTAAAATAATGAGTCTGTAACAATAATAGAAAGAGCAGATAATATAACGATGTTGAAAGGAAGAAAGTGTGACCCAGTAAGATGTCTCAATGCCTTCCAGTCAGATATCCCTCTATTGTTCTGCGGCATTGCAACTTCCTCACATACGAATGTCTTGGTTTTCACACTGATTATATATTAACCTATGGGTAACACATGTTTAAAATAAAATGTGGATAAACTCTATTTTGAAACAAAGTTTCTTTTGTATTAAAACCTCTTATCCAGTCATAAGCACTCAARATAATAGCCAAAAGAAGCTTCTAATTTGCTATGTTCCCCACATAGAATTGCCTTAATATTGTAGCTAAAGAAAGCTTTTATGAAGTCGGAATCAGATATTAAATAAAGTATTAGAAAATGCGCTAACTTGTGAAAGAAGATTTYCTTGTTTAAACCAATGGGATGGATGGATTATACAATACACAATTATCACCTTCTTGCATTCCTTTGCCATTTGCTTCCCTAGTTCTTACTCGGGCCATTACTTAAATGTTAATCTATTATTTCTAAATTTGTTGAAAAACATACCACACAGTTTTGAAGCATCAGAAATAACTTATACAGTCATCAAGAAAAATTATGTCAGGTTATTCAAAGGTTAAATGAATTTTAATAATAATATGTGTCTGAACAGGTCAATCCTAATATCAAGTTCGAAGTGTTTATTCACAAAGTAGATGGTTTATCAGATGACCACAAAATTGGTAAGATGCTCTAAATGTCCACAATATTATGTTTCCTTTTTTGTATGTCTCTCTTGCCTAATKGACATTTTTGGTTGTATTATACAACTATTAGAAACACAAAGAGATATTCACCAAAGAGCAACYGATGAGCTAACTGATGCAGGGCTTGAGGGACTCCATCTAAGGTAAGTCAAACTTGTGATTTTTTTTCATGATTTGTGTTACCATCGTGTTATTGGAAAGATGTCTGTATTTCTCATGTCCACAGCCATCCTCTGGTTATGGCACTTTTGACATGACCTGGCATGCTTGTGTTTGAGAGTAAATCTATGATAAGAAAATTCATAATGCTCTAAGTTTTTTTCTTCAAATATTTACCTTTCCTATGAAGTTTAAGAATATACTTTTATTTTTATTGTGATAACACTCTCACAATTAGATTTAGAGCTAGTAATAACAACAAACTGCCTAAACAGGCAAAAATGAAAAATTATTATCCACTTAGAATCAATTATGGTAAAAATATCATTTAAAAAGACTTGCTGTTGCTGTTAATCCTAACTTAATGTAATTATGTACATTGATATAATATAGAATCTCA